GAGGGTGAAGGCACAGATAGTGAGATACCACATATCTCTCAGGGTGTTGTGCGGATTAAATATTTGTACAATGTTTTGAGCTTGCCAAATGTGATGTAAGTGATTAGAATTATTAGTAAAATAAACACATATGTGATGGCTGCTACTGTCAAAACTTAAGTGTAAATAGTGCATTTTAGAATGAAGTACTGCAGAAATGGATTAGGATGAATGGCAGCAGTTCTGGCCACCAGATGGCCAAAGCATTTGCTAGAATTCTGCATATTAGATTAAAAAAAATAATCACAAAATCAGTGCTACAGTAGTAATGAACAATAAATATGTGGGCAACCAACAAACACATCAGCCATATTATATCAGCAGCAATAATCATTTAATGCAAGTGCCCACAGTATTTAGCGCCCAGACACAAATATATGCCAGATAAGAATATTTGCTCTTTAAACTCCACATAAGGAAAAGGTAAGCTGCTGTTTTTTCTAGTTCCTAGTGTTCTTGCTGCAGGTTCCTTTCAGCCTGATTAGTGAATGCAGGCCCCAAGCACACTCATTTAATTCTCTCTTTTAATCCTCTCAGTTATGTTTGCTTATAATTTACTGCCAAGAAACATCAATAATTCAAAGTTATGGTTGCCTAACATTGTCTTGTGCCATTCTTAACTCTCTGAACACCATGAAATACAAAGTTAAGATTATGTCTCCCTCACCACACACCCCTTACAACCTCAACTCACCCTCAGCCTTTGAGCAATGCCCAAACCCATGCCTGTCAGATATCACAAGACTGTAACTTTCCTAGACTCTGTAATATTGGCTGCACTTGAGGCAAAACTTCCTAAAGAAGCCCCTACAGAAAGCAGGCTTAAGTACTGTGCACACCAAATATTCTCAGAAATCTGCCAATGGCAGGACTTGAACTCATGCTATTTGGTGGTGCTCAGGTTTGAGGTTTATCGCTTGTTTCTCTAAACCACTGAGTGCCTCTGATAGGGTCTGAATTCCTCTACACCATAAGTTGCTACAACATACCAGATTTGAGAAAGCATGTGCACATGCACAAATCACTCTCTGAAATGCTTCCTAGATGAGTGCCAAATTACAGAGCTGGAGAGACCCTCTAATAGCTTCTCTGATGTGAAACTGGATGCTGGGCACTAGCAGAGATCAACACTAATCAAGTAATCTCAGTTTAGTGTAGATTAGTCCCATAATGTGAGCCACAAGTGTGTGCACAAGTACCATGTGTCCAGACTGAAATATGGAGCCATACTGATGTTTCCTCCCTTCTTCCCAGGCTTTTAATATATTTTCTTTCCACCCCTGCTCACACACCTCAAACGTACTTTGTTCTATTCCATCCAGTCCCTTCTTGCACTATACACCCTGGTCATTCTGGCTTCAAGCCCAGCTGCTCTTGAAGCCTCACCCTCTCCTCTGTCCTAGTAAATGCAAAGCAACAGTGACAACTCACCTTAGGAGCATGTTTTCATCTTCCTGTCTGGGCAGCCCAGCAAATCTCTTATTGTCTCTTTCCCATCACTTCCAGCAGGGATGTCTCCTGCCTTAAATAAATGGGAATCCCCAGGTTAGTACCCAGGCTGCAGACCTGCCAAGATTAGGGCTGCTCCGTCCATGCACGAAGCTCCCTAGCCCTGAACAGAGGGACCCTGGGCCCATTCCCCACATCTCAGGACGAGAGGCAGGAAGGCCCTTCCACCGGCCCACGGGGAGCCCCCCTCTCGAGAGGCCTCAGGACACAAGGAGGAAGGAGTCTGGGTCTCCTGGCTCGGCGACAGACAGAGGCCGGAGCGGGGTGGCTTGGCAAGCTGCTCCCCTCACCCTGCCCCTCTGGGAGCCAAGGCAGGAAACAGAAAGCAGGGAGGGGGAGGTCAAGGCAAAGGGGCACTTGGTCAATGGCAGAGCAGACTCTCTTCGCCTCTGGCGGTCGGGAGGAGGTACTACAGGCAGGATGTCCTGATGCCAAAAGCATGGGGATTATACCAGTTGTCTGATGCTTGGCATCTCCAAGAAGAGCACAAAACGGGTGCACCTTTACACAGCTCAGGGTTATCCAGCATGCTAAAACACTCAGCGAATGAAAACACTCTGGTCTTGTCTGTGTTGCAGCTTCTCTCACTGGTTACACCACTGCAGAGGCTCACAATTCTACTAGTGTACAAACCCCTTAGGGCTGCTTTGCTTGCAAAACATAGCTCAGGGTGTTACTTTCTATGGTGGGTTGGGGAATGAAGCAGCTCCCTTGGCCTCCTTCCTCACTAATGATTCAGGGTGTCAGACTTCCTGTGGGTTAGAACGACAATTCCTAAGCACAGCAGGCTCTTTATTATCTTGCAGAAAGAGTTATGGGAGATGGAAAACACAAGTACTCCTTTTCTTTTTGGAAAACAGAATGTCAACGAACAGGGTTGTTAGAGCAAGGGAAACCTTGAGAGGGAGGCCCAAAAGCCTGCAAAACCAAGACGTCAAACAGCTTGGCTTAATTTACACTTTGATTGGAGAAGTCCACTGCCTGTTTGTAATATGTTACAGAGATTGTTGAAGTTTGTATTGCACTTTAGTAAAGTGGATAGAAACCATGGAGGAAGGGAAGGATGTGGTACTCTCATGACCAGCCTCTTGCACTAATAGTTCAGGTATGCAAAGTGGGAGACTAGGTTGATCAGCAAGGAGAGCCTAGAATGACCTCAAAAGGCTGACAGCACCCACCACATTAAACAAATTGGCTCTAGTCAATTTAGAGATGTTATCTGGCCTAACACTGTTAGAAAGAAAATAAACACAGAGAATGTGAACACTGTAACAGAGGTCCCATGTAAATTAGAGCTGGAGTGTAATCTTGTGGATAAGGCACTGGAGTGGGACTCGAGAGATGTAGATTCAATTCCCATCTCTGTCAGAGACTGCCTGTTGACCTTAAGCATGTCACTTCACCTCTGTAAGCCTCAGTTCCCCATTTATAAAATGGAGAAAAATATTTTTTTCCTTTCTCTTTTATGTATTAACCTTGTACACTCTTTGGGGCAGGCACTGTCTCTTACTATTTCTATAGGGCACTTATCACATTAGGGACTTTAGGCACTAAAGGAAGTTATTAATTCTCAACCGTGGCCTGAATTTTTATTTTGTATTTATTTATTTTTGACAGCTCCTCCACCTCTCTCTCCAACCAAGCATTACATTCTCATAGGTTTTTAAAGTTGGCTTACACCAGCTTCTCCTCCTCCAGTCTACCTGCCTTTTCCTCCCTCATGTTCCTCCAGCTGTCCTATTTCCTCTGCCACCCTGTGACTCAATTTAATCCACCTGGAAATGAATTATACACTAGCTCCTCCTAGTTAGTCATTAGAAACCATATGGCCTGAAAGCCTCTAAAAGCAGGGCTTGAAATTCAGGAAAAAGGTACCTACCATTAAATACAAAGCAATTAATCACAACAGCTGCATCATTCTACAAACCCAAGGCATCTGTCCCCATGCAGTCTGACTGCTCCATTTTCTCTCTCCCTCCACCCCATTGAATTTTAGGACTTCTTCCCCCTGCAAGGATCTGCAAATCCTCTGTTATCCTGCAGTTTCTCTACATGGCATATGTCACGGAAACACAATTTAAAAAGACAAAACAAAACATGAAACACAATCCTAGCTTCAGTTTTCTTCCTCTCTCTCCCCCTTTGTGCCTGTGCAGGTACTTCAGTCCCATTTTTTAATGTATTCTGTCTCCCTTTTTTAAATTAGAGCAGCATCCCAATGCCCTTGCTTTCTGTCACGCTGTTCCTCCTAAGTGCTGTTGCTTCCCCACCCTTTGTTCTGCAAGATTTCTCACTGCAACAAGCCAGTGACGGGAAGAGATGTTGATTCCCAGAACAGGGGAAATGGAAACATTTTCTTCCTTCACATTGGGGAAGACACTGTCAATGAAGGCAGAAACGCAGACTACTGGAATTATAGCTAAAGAAACTGCAGTTCCAGACAGAACCAGGGCAGCCACTTGCTCAGAAGAAAGAAAAGGAGTACTTGTGGCACCTTAGAGACTAACCAATTTATTTGAGCATGAGCTTTCGTGAGTCCTATTAAGCCTGTAGAGTTGCTGGAGTTGTAGATTGAGGCTGAGTTTAACGAAAATTATCTGACAGCAGCAAGAGAACTTCTGGAGCACGATATTAGCACAGCCCTAAGCTTTTTGTATATTTTAGAAGATAAGGGGTGATTTTATTTTCTTTGATACATTTATTGCACCAAACTACATTTCACCATCTTTGATAATTAAATACCTGAGTATGGTCAAGCGCTCAATTACAATTCTTACAGCCTAAGGAAAGGGGGACAAGACTAGAGAGCAACAGAATTCTATGTGCAATTTGAGCTGTTTTAGACTTATCAACTCTTTTGAGTGAAAGTAAACAAACTGATTTAAGCAACACCTCTGTGCTGACAAACACGTTTTAGAAATATCTTGTCAAGTTTTTCCACTTTCTCATTAGTTAATATTAACTCAGAAGGTTAGCACACACAACAACTCACTCTACTTTATATTCCATCCCTGATTAAGATACAAAAAATTCAGGACACCCTCTCACATAATTCTGTAAAAGCAGTCCTTATCTCTGGAAGCTGCATTTTAGAAATAAAAGTATTTCACACTGTTTACTGGGAAAAAGAATAAAGCACTCTTTCTTCTTTATTGGACCTAATTAGGTCCAGTTAATTTTGACAGTTAACTTTTTTGTGGATGCATCGTTTATCCTCTGACAAAGGAAGGTGCTAGTGATAAATTTGTCGTCATCTCTCACTTTATTTGTGCAGCAAGGTGGAGAGATCAAAGAAGAGAGAGAGGTGAAAAACATCTCTCTGCTTGCACTGTTGAGAGACCAGCAAATGCACTGGAATGATGTCTGCTACCATGCTCCATTGCTGGTTAGGTGGGCTGCTAATTCTGACAGTACACACACACACACACACACACACCACAGTAATACAGATGAAGGATTATGCTGTAGTGCTCTATTGATCCTGTCAAACCACTTACATATTATTCTTCAGCATCAACTGCACCCCCACCCAGGTAACTACAATTCTATTGTCAACATACAGCCAAAATCGTATCGGGTGCATGTTTAGAAACTTACTAAGGAACCTGATCTAACCCATTGAATCCCTCCATCCCTGATTTGAATGAGCTTTGAAACAGACCCCTTTATAAAAATGGATGCTAGGTGCAACATCCCTGAAGTCATGAGACAAGGTACAATACGTATGCCAGATGAACACTTGCTGGGGTGAATGCATTTACTCATACACATTTTAAACAGTTCAGGGAAAAGGGGTTCTCTCCCCTGAATATGAGGAGTCAGGTAAACGCTTAATTTGCAGAAATCACTCAAGTCACAATTAAGTATATAGAACTTCATATATACACATTTTACAGTGGGCACTTGTGTACTCAACTGGTCCAGTGACTTTTGAACATACAAGCATTGGTACTAAGGGGAAAGAATTGAAGGGAACAGGGAAAGGGCTTACCACTCATTACATGACAGATAAAGTTATACACTATGAAAGTTTGAAGTTATCAATAAATTAGATTAACGATTCACATATGCTGGTTTTCATACTATGGAAACTATTGAAAAGATCAAGGAGACACTCAGTATTTAAGTAGGTCTGAGGCAAAAAACAATATCATAAGCTATCTATTCTGGAGGGGTATCAATACAGGAAATGGTCAAACTGGCACTCTCGTGGTCATTTAAGTCAATGCCATTGGAAATCAATTTTCCATTCCTACATAGATTGTGCTCATCACCCCAGCCTCTGATTTAGAAATGGGATGAACTGTAGAAAATCCAAAGACTTCTGACATCAAAAGGTGAAGGATTTGGGTTTTTACCCCCAGGAAAGTAGCTTTGACAATTATAAAAATGTTACCCTAAGTGTTAGATATTATGCTAGATGTTTGTAAATTTACAGTTATTTATTTAAATCCCTCTCATCACTGGGACTGAGTAATCAATTCAAGGTTGAGAATGTTTTAGTTTAAGCCTCTTCTGATAAAAGCACAGTGAAAGGTGGTGGTTCTTGCCTTTATCTTCTTTACAAATACGGTGAAAAATGCTATCTGAAACCTAGGAAGGTAACTGGTCTAGAACAAAGCTAGAGCTCAGTCTTAACTGGACCAGAACATATGAGAGCAGGCAAACCTTGGCCTTCCCTCTGTTTATCAAGATAAGGAATTTTCTGGGACATTCTGAAGAGCAATGCAAGTATAATCAAAGGAATTTTATGGAATGTTTGGGTTTTACTGAAGTTATAGACCACAGACCTTTACAAAGCAAAAAGCATGAATTTAAGGACGTTTCTACATAGTGTCCACACCACCAACTTCTTTGAAAGGCAAAAGGTTCAACTTAAACAAAACTGGATATTTTACAGAACAACTAAAAATGAAGATGAGCAAGTCACTGCAGTATTCCACATTACACGATCATTTGTAAGTTCCACCAAAAGGGACATTTCTCCCATTTATATTATATCCAGACTCTTAAAATAGGACTTTGAACAGGAAAAGCCACCACGATCAGGCTAAAGCTGGTTTTCAGTTGACAATTCTAACTCCACTGAACTTCAAATGTTTTACAGTAGTTTCAGTTGTCCAACATCAGTTAACAGGCTGCTCTTCCAGAGTTAGTGTTGCTCTTTTCTTGTGGAACACACACCAGACTAAGACAGTATTCTTATCCTGTTCTATAAAATTAAACTTTGGAGTGAAGAGCTGGTAAAAGTTGGTCCAACCAGTTTTTAAATCTTCACCTAGACTACATTTCTAGGTGTGCCATTGTGAGTCACTGCTTTCATGTTTGGGGTGGTTGCTTGATTGCAGGTTCTATGGGAGACAACACCTACTTCAAAGACTTCATGAATAGCTTTGCGAAAACAATGGAAGTTGTAGTCTATCAAACCTGTGGAGGGAAGGAAAAAAGGTTCCTCGGTTCAGTGTCTCTCTCAAATACCCAATGAAACTTAAATTAGCATAAAGTAATTCTGCTTAATTTATTAAGAGATTTCTGAGCAGTGAAAGACTCTGTAAAAACCAAAGGAGTCAGAGGTAAGTTATTGTGCAGAATATTTAATGAAAAAAACAGTGCCAATCTTTATTTACGCTGTTTCACTTTTTAGGATGTAAAGGCATTTGTTAGGAATGTATAATACAATATGCCAAAAACAGCAGATCATGACTGAGGGCTTGGCTACACTTATATTTTATAGCGCTCTAACTTGCTGGCTCAGGGGTGTGAAAAAAAATCACCCCCGAGCGCAGCAAGTCAGAGCGCTTTAAAGCACTGTTGTAAATAGGCTCCTAGAGCTGGGAGCCATGCTCCCAGCACTCAGAGCTAATCCCTTCATGGAGGTGGATTACCAGGAGCGCTGGGAGACCTCTCTCCCAGCGCTCGCACGTGACCACACTCGCCCTTCGAAACACTGTCGCAAGGTCACTACTTCAGCATTACTATTTGAAAAAAAATGTTAGCAGTGATTTTTAGAGACAGCTAATAAAAAGATCTTATATGTCAGAGTTTATAGACAGCCATAGAGGTGGGATAAATGAAGATGAACAGTGAAGAAAAAGGAATCATGTAAAATTAAATATGGCCAGGAACAATAGTAAAGCAGAACCTCAGTTACAAACAGACCGCTCAACCACACACTTCATTTGGGCCCAGAACTACGCAGTCAGGAATCAGCAGAGACCAAAAAAATAAAGGAAAAATTTAAAAAAAGATTTGACAAGGTAAGGAAACTGTTTCTGTGCTTCTTTCATTTAAATTAAGAGGTTAAAAAGCAGCGTTTTTCTTCTGCATAGTAAAGTTTCAAAGCTGTATTAAGTCAATGTTCAGTTGTAAATGGCTGAAAGAACAACCATAATGTTTTGTTTAGAGTTACGAACATTTCAGAATTACAAACAACCTCCATTCCTGAGGTGTTCATAACTGAGGTTCTATTGTACACTACCATTCCATCCCTAACACTGCTTTTGAACTCCAATTCAGTAAATGATGTTATGAACACTGTTTAAATCTAAGTTCAGATCAAAAGGCCCAAACTGGAGTAAGAACAAAAAACCACTAAACTTCATAACTATTTTCTAGCATAAATACCCTTACATTATTATGAGTGAACATAAACAGAGGAAAAACAGCAATCGGAGCTACTATATGTTGCTTCAACTGATGTAGATGTTACAGAGGCAAATTACTCAGCCAAAGTTAGATTATCCAGCCCTTATATTAATGGGAGGATAGATCAGAATTAAAACTGTTTAATTTATTTCCACATACTGCAGAGAGAATGAGACGTCTTCACACTTATCTCTTTTGGAAGAAGAAAAAAAAGTTTACTCAAAGAATGGAAGAAATAAAGACATCCAAGGTTTAAGTCATCTTAAGGAAGCTAATGATGGTCAAGATACAAATAGTTTTTAATTAGACTTCTTCAGCTGCTTCATAAATCAACATAAGATCTTTTAAGTGACAAACTGCTTTTTTTTTTTTTCTTCTGGAAAAAGATTTTTTTAGTCAAAGTGCTTACCTTTGCGCTCAAAGCTTTCTTCTCTAAGTATGCAGACAAGTGCTAGAAACTTTGTCACTTCCTTTAAATATAGGACAGTTGTATTATTGAGTTTGATAATCGCCATCGACTCTTTATCGTAAGCACTTCCACTGCCATCTTCCTTTAAACTACAATAATGATACAAACAATGAACCATTCAATATACACTGACAATTTAGATCGCTTTTCAGAAAGAGAACATTTTGTGAATGCCCTACCCCACATGGCTGTATATCAGAATGAGACATGAAAAAAAGAGGAGAAACTCGGCAGCAAATACATTTAGCAAACCCTAATATTCTTATCTCCAACCAGATATGGGCACAAATTTTCCTTAAATGTCAAATCAGCAACATCAATCATACCTCCAATCAACTTCCAGTTAAGAGAGCAGGTTTGAAGCTAAGCATTTCATTTTACCTTTGCAGTAGGGAGATAGGATGATCATGTCTCCATATTTAAGGTTGCCATTTAGATCCATCAGCTACATGTAACTTTGGTTAGAACTAGTTTGATATCAAAATTCCTAGTTTCACTTAGTCAAAGAAAACTGGTCAAAATGCAAGTTCAAACATTAAAATATTGAATTTTGTTTCACTGATTCTTCTTGATCAAAGGCTGCTTGTTACTATCCTTTAAACATACCATTAGTTAAATCTTATACACAGGCTACATTTGAAGAAGTTGTGTTGTAATTAAATAAACATATATAAAAGTGTGTGGTGACTATAGAAGAGAAATATAGAGAGGGGAGGTTAAGCTTTAAGACCATGGGTGGACATGCAGAATTATTTCACTGACTCACCCTGATAGTTAAAACCAGATGGGTCTCAGAACCAACAAGAGAAAAGGCTAAGTGTCCCTGCCTCTAGCTTTCTTGTCTCGGAGCCAAGAAGTCTCAGAGAAAAGTCCTAGGAAGAAACTGCTTGAGAGGAAATATAGGCAAGCATATATGGAGAACTGTTCACAAGTACAGCCCTGCCTCATGACTATTTCTTACATTTAAGCCATAGAATAAATGCATATCTCATGAAGGGGTGAAGAAAGGAGTTTGGACAAGCCTACTGGAAGTGTGGTATGGGAGACAGCACAGGACTCCCCTTTGTCTGTTATGATTCCCCACCCCCAGCTTATAGGACATAGGGTCCTTCTACAATCAAAAGAGCTTCCTTCAGCTCAAGTAGTAGAGGCCTGTGCTTTGAACTGAAATACCAGGGTTTTAACCCTGTATTTGGGGAGGATTAAGGTTTGTTAATTTGTAGGAATGGATTCATTGCAGAATGACACTCAAATGTGTTTTCTTGTATTAAAAAAAATAAAAATAAAAAAAAGACTGTAGGGTTTAGGTAATTAAAGGTTACACTCATGGAACTACTCATTAGCATCCATCACTACAGAGCTGCAACTACAATTCCATGATAAAGTTTAGTTTAACATCCTCCAGTTTATCCCTGGAAAAAAGTATTTTCAGCCATAAAATTGCATATTTGTAACACACCGTATACAGTTAGATCTTATAAAAATCTAGAGTATAGGCCAACTTAAAACTACTTGTGGCTTTGTCATCACAACCTACTTATTTGGCATAGCAAAGCACACTTTAAAGAATCTTCTGAATATCAGGCCACGTAGTGCTAAGCACATCAACTTCACTAGAAATTGCTGGGTGTTTGATGCTTAGAACTCCTGAAAACCAGACCACTTATTTAGGAGTCTAAATATAGACTTAAAAATTAATGTTAGATCCTTGTTTCTGGAAGTCTTGTGCCTATATTATGGAAAGAGACGGTTAAGAGAAGATATTCAAGTATTTAGCTACCTTAAAATGGTAATTTAATCAGTTAAAGGAGCTGAAGTGGAGAAGGTGTAACATGTTGATACACTAGAATTATAATGAAGCCTGGATGTCAATGTAAAGGCAAATGATTAAGAAAGCTGCAGTTAAGTTTTAGTTGTGTGTACTTTTACCCCTTAGTGTTTAGCAACAGCATGTATGTACTCCAGAATATACTTCATTTGCTCTTCTCTGTTGAAAGTACTTAGAGTAGTGGTGTCCTCCACCTGGCCCACTCGCTGTATCTATATATGTGGCCTTACATGACAAATTCAGGTTCTACAATATCTCACTTTTAATTTAAAAGCAAGGAGTCTCTGGACCCCCACAGTTGCAAAGAAACACTTGTATCAAATTGGGGAGGTTAACTCATGCAACACTATCTTCCTGGTTCTGGAATGACTGACTAAAAAAGTGAACACCCCTGCCCAACAGTTAGTCTTGTGTATTAACTTTTTAAGTCTATTGAAAACATTAAAGCAAGAATTAACTATTTTAACTGCTCCACAATTCAGTGGATGGAATGGGTAGGGAGTAGGAATCTGGAGTTCTGGCATGGAAGGAAATCCAAAGGGGAAAAAAATAAAGAGAGAAAGGGAAAGAAAGAAAGAAAAGAGGGGCAGAAGCAGTGGTCCTATTTGTGAGCCCATTTTCCCCATAAACGATGCTGAATGTAATAAGGTACTGAAAGAAATACTATATTCTACCTAATCTGCATAAAACTTCACATTGATATTGGAGGAAGATCCATCGAGGATTAACAATGTTATTTAATCCTAAATTTATATCTCACCCCTTGGGCTATAATTAAGAATGGAATTCAGCCTTCTCCATGAGTTTGACACCGTTGAGTGAGAGGGTATTTCCAAGCAGCTGTCAATACAGACTAAAGACATCCTATCCGTAGTTGCATTAAGGTCATATTCTGGTTGTGAGTCAAGAGAAGCTAAAGCACACACTGCAGCAGTATATGTGCCACCTCTGGAGGAAATACTTTTCTTATTGCTCTAGCAACCACCCTGAGGCAGTGCAACATCCATTAGATACCACTTAGATGTGAAGCTTAGACTAGGCTGCAGAGGAAACAGTGTTCAGTCTGCCTCCATCAGAAAGGTGTTAACGAAGGCTGAGCCTGACCTGCTCAAAAAAGTAACTTCCCCCAGGCAATGAGAACCTTTTGAATCAGTGTAGTTTCATTGCATTGTTAATTAATGCTCATTAGGAAAGTGCATAAGAACAGGAGTGGATGGTATAGAATTTGTAGGTTTTTGTACAGCTCATCATCATCAAGCATTACAGAAATTAAATGGATTTACACTCAACACTGAGGCAAAAAAATGTATATTCACATTTTAAAGTGGAAGCTGGGGCTTAGAGAAGTTAAGTGACTTGTGTAAGGTCAAAGAGAGCTGTGACAGACAGAAAAAGCTCTTATCTGCACAACCCAGTCCAGTTGCTGAACCAGAATACCATCTTTCCTCTCTAAATGGACCAGAGAAGAAGCTCTACAGCCCACCTCACCCTGTAGCTAAGGGGACAGACATGTTTGCATGAAGTTTGCAGCTCTCATCTAAGCCATTTTATAGAGCTTATCTTAAGCCAACTCTCTAAAAGGATTTGTCACTTACCCATATATACAAGACACATCAATCACTACATCGATCATGTCACAGCACAGCTCATATGACTGCATATCCACAGGGGAACTGTCTGTCGCAATGTAGATTTTGCTGACTACATCAAAGAGAAAGGCTTTTTCAATGCCTGAATTCTTCAAAAAGAAAGAATTGGAGATGCATGCTGAGTCATCAGAACATCTAAATTTTAAGTCTTACGTAGAATTCATAGTTTCACATTTTTAAGAGCAGGAAAAAAACAAAATTTCAATTACTCAAAAGGACCAAAATGGGATTAAGATTTGAACAGTTTCCATAGTCTCCAGAGATTCTGTACAGGGCACTGCATCAGCTTGGAAACCTTTTAGCAAAATGCAGCTAGCTAACTAAATTATCAATTTTGCATTTTAGCTGATGGGAAATTGTACTGAAATTTAGTCTTTATTAACCATAAAAACCTCATGAACTGATGGGGAGTGGGGGTTTTAAAATGTTGCCTTCTAAATTTTTTCAGTAGCTTATATAATGGCCGTTTACAGCAAATAATTCATTCATTCATTCAGAGTGGTAGCCGTGTTAGTCTGTATCAGCAAAAACAACGAGGAGTCCTTGTGGCATCTTAGAGACTAAAACTTATTTGGGCATAAGATGCATCTGATGAAATGGGTTCTAGCCCACAAAAGCTTATGCCCAAATAAATCTGTTAGTCTCTAAGGTGCCACAAGGACTCCTCGTTGTTTTTGCTGATACAGACTAACACGGCTACCACTCTGAATGAATGAATTATTTGCTGTAAACGGCCATTATATAAGCTACTGAAAAAATGTAGAAGGCAACATTTTAAAACCCCCACTCCCCATCAGTTCATGAGTTTTTATGGTTAATAAAGACTAAATTTCACTACAATTTCCCAAGGACCTAACTGACAATTACTTCTCTACCTTCTATAGAATTTTTCCTCTTCAACAAGATAGCTGCACATGTGCAAATGCCAATAAACTAGCTCTAGCCACTAAATGAATTCAGTAATGAAAGGTGAAGGACAAGTATTACTATGAACAAATTATATGCAGCGGTGTTGTGGTGTGTCAGTCCCAGGGTATCTCCTATTGGACCAACTTCTGTTGGTGAAAGAGACAAGCTTTTGAGCTACACAGAGCTCTTCTTCAGGTGAAGAAGTTATTTAGGCAGTGGCAAATACTTTCTATAGACCGGAGGCTACTCCTATACAGTTGACTTTCTCTGTAGGTAGCAATCACACCGTAAGTAGCCCAAATGATGTAGGGAATGGACATTCTGATGGGAAAGAGAGGGCAACTAAAATCAGCTACCATATTTGTGACTGCATGAAGAGTATCAGATATTACAGAAGTTATCATCAGAGGACACTGAAGCGATCACATGTCCCTAACGGTCACTTCTTTGAGAATATTCTGACTGGATGACCTAGGGTGCATATATGCATACTGAAAGTTCACCAAATGCCTACCACTGGCAGTAAATAGGTTCAAATGAGTGCAATATGGATTTCAGTCAGAATCTCTATTTATGAGCCAAAAGAAGCATTTATAGTAGCCTCTCCCCAGATGGTTTGTATACCACATTTCGGGCACATATCCCGGACATCTCTCTGAAGACTATTCACTGGCCACTTCCATATTAAATTTATACTCCATGTTCTATTCCTCAAAGTGTTACACAGCTCTGTTCCAACCTACAGCTCCATTCTTATCCCCTTATCTGGCTAGGTTCTTACAGAGCCATATCAAGAGGATATCCAAGCACTTCCTTGTCTCCTGCTATACAGCATGAATAAGTGAGCACCCTCCCACACACACACCCCTCACTCATTTCTTTCTCAGGAGGGCTTTTTTAAAGTTGCCCCTATGATAACAAGGATCTCTTAATGTTTGCTGTACACAGTCCTCCTCATGCAAACCCTTCTGTTGTCTTTCCACTCTACTATTCTGCTTCCTCTCACCAGAGGTTATATTAAAAATAAATTTCAGTGTAATCAACAGAAAACAGCAACACTACCTCTAGCAAGTAATGCTCCCCATGAGCAGTTTTCCCTTCCCGACACTGTGCAATTATCTATAATTGACTAAAACCAGGTCTATACTATAAACTTTCACCAGCATAGTTATGTTAGTGAGGAGTATAATGAGATGTGATTTGTGACTAACATAGCTGTGCCAGCAAAAACCCATAGTGTAGATGCAGTTATACCATCAGCGTGCTTTTGCTGGTACAGCTTATTTCACTGGCAAGGGTGCAAAAGGAGCCTGGAATATGCTAAATTTGCAAAAAGCACAATTTTGCCAGTATACACTACAGCATATATTTTAAAATAGTTTATTTTTAAGATAAGGTTAGTAACTAAAAGTAATAATATTTCACTTACTGATATAAAGATATTTAGTAGGTTTTCCAAGGTTGGCAGTTGTGGAATGAGTTTTTGTACAACCTTACTGAAGGCTTCAAATATTGAGTGGTCATAGATACTGGTCAAATAAAAGCTGTAGGTTTAAAAACAAAAAAATCCAATCTAAGAAAATGTAAATCAGTGCTGCAATAAATTGTCAAAGTTAAAAATCCTAACATTTGAACTCTATTGTTTTATCCAAGTTCTACTGGCACAATACCATTCTGCTGCTACAGAAATGAGGAGGCATTTACAGAGTTGTTGGAGTAAGCAAGGGATGATCTCCCACCAAAGCGAGCGAGCGAGCGATCTGGGCATGTTTTTCACATTACCTTTTGCTAGCAGTATTACAACCTCTGGCAGAGAGCTATTAAAAATGTGTTAAAAAGGCCCAGGCCATTCCCTTTCAGAGATTTAAATTTTATAAAAAACTTCCTGTTTTCTACCACTTCCACTTAGGTCATGTCTACACTGAGATAGTGTTAGAACCAGTGGCAATTTTTTAAAGATTTCCCCAGAGTAGAGATGGCCATAAAGAAAAACCAGACATTGACCTCAATGTACTCAGACAGAATAATTTAAACAATTAAATATCAATAAGCAAACGACAGCCCATCAACCATGACTATATACCAGAGTTAGCGCTGACCTTGAGTAAAGAAAGAAGAAGTGAGTTACAGAGACACGAAAAGATGCTTTAATACTTGATAGAGCAAAGCTTGCAAGGTGCAATACAACATACATTTAAATTAGTAAGGAATTGGCAAGCAAAATAAAGCCAGGATCATGTATGACAAATTATATTTTCTTTATTGACAACTCATTTAATTAATAATGCTTAGTTCTATACTAGTGAATGTTCTATAGTATATTTTGTAAGACCGAAGTAGTCTGTGTAATATTAGTATCAAAGTGTGGACTAGCCCTCATTAAAGTCCCTCGTATTAAATCTGATGAGAAATTAAAGAAAAAAAAGTCACTAGTTTCATGTATACAGTTGTGAGATTGTTACAGATCAAAATTTCTATCACTCACCTAAGATGAAGTTTTTCAAGCCCAGCATCTGCAAGATCATCATTGGCTCTCTGATGAATATCCCTTTGAGTTTCTATTTTATGGTCATCTGACAGACCATCAACTTTGTGAATAAAAACCTCAAAGTTCATTTCTGGATTGACTTTGTAGGCTTTAGAAACTGTAATGTGGAGTCTTGTTAAAGCTTCCATGTAGTCATCCTGTATATCAGTGTAGACAGAGGTTAATGTCACAGCTGCCAGCCAATTAACTGATCTTTCTTCGCTATCCCCTTCTATTCCACTCTTTGCACACATACAAAAATAGTGAAATGAAAAAAAAATTTCCACCTTTGAATAGAAGTGTGGCAGAAACAATCTAGTTTGGCAAAACAGAAATCCAGATATTAAGTTCTAAATCCTGTCCTGTCACCTTTAAAGAGGATTAGATCTCATTCATAACATAAATGCACTCACTTAAAAACAAAAACAAACAAAAAAAAAAAACCCACCCAACAGGGATACAAACCCTACTCCTGGAGGAATTCTGCGCCACTGTGCATGTGCACAATTTATGTTCCCCCACAGATTTCTTTGCTTCCCCATAGAAAAATGACTTTCTGATGTGGGGAAGCAAAGAGAAGCCACAAGAGTGGTTATGCAACCCTCCACAGTAGTATGTTTCGGGTGTCCAGGGCAGCCAGCAGAGAGGCAAATCACTGTGGGGCCCGGGGCGGGACTGGGGAAGACCTGGCTGGTGGCTCCTACCCTGTGCAGGGCTCAGCTGCTAGTCCCAGATGGATTGGGGAGGATGGGACTTCCTCTTCCCCTGCACAGCATCCAGGGCCATGTCAGACCCACCCCCAGATTTCTCCCCCAGCTGTAGGAAGCTCTGCAAACTCCCCCACTCCCTGCGACCATTGCTCCTCAGCTACAGGGGGAGGGATCACTGTACAGCGAGCTGCTCCCCCCCATCTGCCCAGTTCCTGTGCATCCAGACCCCCTCATACCCAGACCTCCCGCCAAGCCTCATGCCCCCAGACCCCACCACCCCCACAAGCCCCATTCCCCCTCACCTGTACCACCCCAACAAGCCACCTGCACCTGGATCTCCACCCCATTGAGCCCAATTTCCCCAGCATCTAGACCCCACCCAGGACCCACCAACAAGCCCCTGTGCAGCCAGATCCCCCACACACACTCTGATCCCCCATTGAGCCACCTGCACCCAGACTGCCCCACACAGAACCCTCTCAACCCACACCTGGATCCCCTCCACACTTGGATTCTGCCTTGCTGAGCCTGCCTGCCCAGACCTGGCAAGGAGGGGCAGGGCCCTGGGGTGTTTCTGGGGCAAGCCCAGTCCTTGCGCTGTCAGGGTTGGGTGCAGGCTCTCTGCTGAGTCTGTGTCCCGGGGGCAGCTGCACTATGATCTCCCACCTCTGTGAAGCCAGTGGTCTGTGCTCGCTCCCCAATGCCATGCTGGAGCCTCCACATTTATTTGACAAATAAAATTTGTAGAACTTTGCAGAACTTTAAAATATTGTGCACAGAATTTTTAGGCGCAGAAGGCACCCATGAGTAAAACCCTCAAGCTCAAGGGTGTCAGCCAAACACTAAGAACTAAGGAGAGGATACTGGACTATATAGACTCTCTGCTTTGATCTTGCACAACAATTCTTATGTCCATTAAAGCAGCCAAGCTATGAAATGTAATGGGCCAGTAACAAAGTAAATTCAGGTTTTAAAAAAAAAAAAAGAAAAAGAAAAAGTGATTGGTTCTAGCCAGTATTAGGTTTTTAAACAGTCATCTCCGTCTCAAATAGCAAGAAAACTCCCCAGCATTATTAGCTATTAATATCTACCTGGGCGTCAATAACATATATCAGTGCCCCTGTGCCTCTGAAAATCATCTCATAATCAAATGTTGGGTCAAAAAAGTCCATTTGTCCAGGAAAGTCCCATATCTGGAAATTCACAAAGGAACTGTTGGATATATCATCTTTGTAAATCTTGTTGGTACTCTCCAAAAACAGGGTCTCATTGGGAGACATTTTATGAAACACCACCTGTTAAAAGGAAAAGTGAAGACTGATTGGCTTTTGAAGATTTGACAAAAATCTAGTTAAGAATGCTGCTTTTTTCTCTCAGAATGAACAGATAAAGTAATAATGACCAGAGGATAAAGCCACACAATCAGCATGCAACTTGCCAATAAAATACAAGTCTCAGAATGGAAGAAAAATGGGAAAAAGTTTAAAAAAAAAAAACACATAGCAAACATTGTTTATTTTATCTGATGAAGGAAATTAACCTAAAGTTAAGTTGCACTAAATAGTTTTTCAATTACGTGGATTTTACAAGACTGAATTATCCCATCCCCCAGTCAGCAAAAGACAAGTTGCTTTTTTTCCCATTGTACTAGCGTAATACAGTACCTCCAGGTCATCTGTGTACTGCCACAATAACTGTAAGTGGGAAGCTATAACCAGTGTTGTGGCTGTGGCCATGTAATATTACAAGTCTTTGGTTCCGGAAGTGTTCACACTTTTCATTTCAGTGGGATAATTAAAACTTGGGCTCCTTAACTAAATGTGTTACTACCACTCCAGGATGAACTTTACAAAGTCAGAAACAACCTGTTCTAAAGCTGTGATAAAAGTTAAGAAAATTTTAACAGATTTCCCAGTTTTAGAGACCCCAAAAATCACGAGAACTGTAGTTAGTCTAACCGAAAGAGTGAGGACAATAATACCACAACAAATCATTTGCTCTTCTTACTGACAGATCTGAGAAAAGCTGACCCCATTCCCTTCAAGAATAAGTGTAGAACAAACATCCGAAAGAGAAGGGGGCAATTTTCAAGTTGCAGTTACTGAACAACATAGCGGCAGCACTAGTAGTAATTATTTATGCTATGCTAGTCCTCAAAGACCCCCCCAACTGGTATTGGAGTCCCAAATATAGTTAGTGCTGTATGAACTGAAAAGAAACAGTCCCTGCCCGAAGATAGCCTACAGTTAAAGGCTGCAGCTCTAGTAGCACAAATTATACGCCACGACTGCATGCTCTACCCCACAAGTCATTTATAACTGAACAATTAAGTGGCTTAATAGTTAAGTAAAGGAAAAAGAATGTGATTTATATAGCACCTTTTGCAAGAGTCAAGATTCTTTGAATGAGCTTCACCCATCTCCAAAAATGAGCCATCTCTGGGGCAGAATACAGCAACCACTGTAACAGAACCAGTACCACAACACAATAGCTTCAGGACAAGTTAAGAACAGCATATTTAATTGCTACACAGTGAAATTGAGGTGGATACAAGTAATTACTCAAGTTAAGATTGGATATCATTGGGATTAAAGCCTGCTCTTTCAAAAACAGCCAGGAGATCCTTAAATACCAAGAGCAGACAGGGCCAAACCTCAGACTTGAAAGGTAGCATTTTATCAGCATGGTGCCCCACACAGACAACGTAAGGGTGTTGGTTCAGGGCTGACCTAGAAATCTGATTCTGGAATGGAGCAGACATCTAAAAAAAAAAAGCTGGTGCCACAGAAGTACCATCATCTACTAGAACAAGGAACTTTCAGTCAGAAGACGTGAATTCTATTCCTACCACTGATTTGACATGTGACACTAGACAAGCCACCTAAACCCTAACTCATTTTACCCAATTCTGGTATAACAGTAATTATCCAAATATTCAAAGTGTGTCAAGAATTTTGAAAAAAAAAAAAAAATGTACATTGTAACAAAGTGGAAAGTTACATAATTCTATCACAAGATTTCTGCAATCTTGAGCTAATATCTCTCAAAACAGACATTTTTGTGGGATTTCAGCTTGAGATTTCAAGACAGAATACGAAAACAGACCCCTTTCCGTTTTAGATACTGACCAGAACTAGAAAATTTAAAGTTACTATTCCAAGATAGGAACTCACGGACACAACAAAATTTGCAAAAAGCAAGGCCTGGTCTACACTACAGAGTTAAGTCAACATAAGGCAGCTTACATCAACCTAACTCTAAAGCGTCTATACAACAACAACATTACTGCTGCCAATATAAGTTGCCTATGACACCAACTTAATAATTTCATCTTCATGACACGAGTAGCGCTTAGGTCAAGGTAGTTAAGGCAAATGAGCGTCTGTGTAGATACTGCGTTACTTACATCGCCTGTTGGCTGTCAGTTCACGGCTGGAGGAGCCTCACTGCCCTGTGCTCTCAGCCCCCCCACATTACCCCACTTAAATCGGTGCAAACACTGCTTGAAAGGATGCACACCACTGACCAAAGGAGGGTAGTATGGACATGAAAAAACACAGTGATTACTGCGGTGGCTATATATCAACTAACTAAGGTCGACTTAATTTTGTAGTCGAGACAAACCCCAAGATTACTCCGGTTAATTGAGTCTGGAGAAAACTGACAAGCTTGAGAGGGACCTGACAACAGTGACCTAGCAACATGAAAGCAGTTTAAATTCATTGTTAATAAATGCAAAGCAATAGATATTGGAAGGAATCATCTGAATGACTTACACACCTTACCGGGCTTCAAGTTAACAACTCAGGAAAAGAGACTTGGGTATCATTGTGGGCAGTTCAACAAAGATTTGATAGATGTGCATCACCAGTCAAAATGCAGCAAACAGATGGACAACAAGAATGACTCAGACAACTAAAACTTAGGAAAACTTTCATATGAAGAGACGTTTCAGAGTAGCAGCCATGTTAGTCAGTATTCGCAAAAAGAAAAGGAGTACTTGTGGCACCTTAGAGACTAACAAATATATTTGAGCATAAGCTTTCATGAGCTACAGCTCACTTCATCGGATGCATTTAGTGGAAAATACAGTGGGGAGATTTATATACATAGAGAACATGAAACAATGGGTGTTATCATACACACTAAAACGAGAGTGATCACTTAAGGTGAGATATTACCAGCAGGAGAGCGGGGGAGAGGGGTGGGAGGAAAACCTTTTGCAGTGATAATCAAGGTGGGCCATTTCCAGCAGTTGACAAGAACGTCTGAGGAATGGCGGGTGGGGGAATAAACATGGGGAAATAGTTTTACTTTGTGTAATGACCCATCCACTCCCAGTCTCTATTCAAGCCTAAGTTAATTGTATCCAGTTTGCAAATTAATTCCAATTCAGTAGTCTCTCGTTGGAGTCTGTTTTTGAAGTTTTTTTTGTTGAAGAATTGCCACTTCTAGGTCTGTAATCAAGTGACCAAAGAGACTGAAGTGTTCTCCAACTGGTTTTTGAATGTTATACTTCTTGACGTCCGATTTGTGTCCATTTATTCTTTTACGTAGAGACTGTCCAGTTTGACCAATGTACATGGCAGAGGGGCATTGTTGGCACATGATGGCATACATCACATTGCTAGATGTGCAGGTGAACGAGCCTCTGATAGTGCGGCTGATGTGATTAGGCCCTCTGATGGTGTCCCCTGAATAGATATGTGGACACAGTTGGCAACGGGCTTTGTTGCAAGGATAGGTTCCTGGGTTAGTGGTTCTGTTGTGTGGTTGCTGGTGAGTATTTGCTTCAGGTTGCGGGGCTGTCTGTAAGCAAGGACTGGCCTGTCTCCCAAGATCTGTGAGAGTGATGGGTTGTCCTTCAGGATAGGTTGTAGATCCTTGATGATGCATTGGAGAGGTTTTAGTTGGGGGCTGAAGGTGATGGCTAGTGGCATTCTGTTATTTTCTTTGTTGGGCCTGTACTGTAGTAGGTGACTTCTGGGTACTCTTTTGGCTCTGTTAATCTGTTTCTTCACTTCAGCAGGTGGGTACTGTAGTTGTAAGAATGCTTGATAGAGATCTTGTAGGTGTTTGTTTCTGTCTAAGGGGTTGGAGCTAATGCAGTTGTATCGTAGAGCTTGGCTGTAGACAATGGATTGTGTGGTGTGGTATGAAGAGATGGGAACTGTTTAGAGTTAAGATGAGGAAGAGGACACACAACAATGGTAAACAAGGTAAATAATGTCAGGCAAAGCAAGCTGAATAGCAATGCCTGATATAGTTTTCATAAAAAGAAAAAGAAAAAGGGGGATATTCAATTAATTGATCAAAACAAATAATTTCACACAGTTCACAATTTACCTGTGTCACTCACCACAACAAGATACTGAAAGGTCCAAGTACTTAGTAGGGTTCACAAACAGATTGAATGGTTATACAAACAACAAGAATCTCCAGTTATAATAGATTCTTTCCAAAATGCTTTAATTTTTGCTATCTAAACTTTCAGGGCATCTTCCAAGTATTGGAGATTAGGACAAAAAGATTTTCTTGTGGATAGTTATTCCATAACTGCCTACTTGCATCTTCCTCAAAAGCATTACATATCAGCCACTGTTAGATACAGGCACTAGACTGTGCTGACCCTGGTATGATAAGGTATGGCAACTCCTATCAAGAAAACTATCATTGAGCCACAGCCAACAGGAAGAGCAGCACTAGATATATATTTGGACTAGATATTCCATTCATTAGGGAATACTAATAGCTATAAGCAATGCTCCAAAGCATATGGTTGTCCACAATTTCATGGAGTCCAAAGCTGGCTTTTGTCTATTGATTCTTACTGTGCTTCTCAGCAACCATCCACAACTTTTTCTTCTAGTTTCTTGGGCCCCCTTGTACCACAACACAGAGTTTGAAAAATCCACTTTCCCACAACGAGTAGGAATCTTTTCCAAGCAACAGTCATTAGTTTGTCTACAATCTGTGGAAGGCCCCTGCTGGCAATGCTACCCCACACCAGCAGAGGGCTCTGCATATGCGTGAGCCCCTGCGGTGGTTTTCAAACTTTTTTTCTGGGGACCCATTTGAAGAAAACTGTTGATGCCCACAACCCAACGGAGCTGGGGATGAGGGGTTTGGTGTGTGGGAGGGGGCTCTGGGCTAGGTCAGGGAGTTGCGGTGCAGGAGGGGGTCAGGGTTCTGAACAGGGGGTGCAGGATCTGGGCTGGGGCCAGGAACGGGGGGTTTGGGGTGCAGGAAGCGGTTTCAGGTCGGGGGCGCCTCATGGCTGAGGCAGAGGATTGGG